TGAGGGAATTTATTTATAAATTGTTAATGACATTATTTATTAATTTTATGATTTTAATAACAAGGATTCCTGATGAATGAGTGACAGGTTAATAAAGCCAAACAACTCTTCATTACAGTTTCACTCTCTATAATAGACCATTTAGCTTACAAAAAATGTCTGTAAAGACTTCCTAAATTTTGACAAAATTAAAAAAATAGCATGATTAGTTGATAGAATAGGCCTTTAGTTTTAATGTAATAACAAGATTTTCTCAAAAAATTATTTGTTGTAGAGTTTTAGTACATGTATTTTACTATTATATACTCATAATTGATTATGGTCAAAAAATTGCATTGTTGTATTGATCATCAGAATTTATGATTCATTGTGCATAATTTACTTTTATTGTCGCATAAATTCATCATCCTTGACTTGATATTTTTTGGTTTTGAAGGATGTGTCGTTTTTTTAATAGTTGTCGTTTATTTACAAAAATGATCAGTAGTAGTAATAATAAGGTATTTTATTCAAAAGTTATAAATATATATATATGTATATACACTTATATATATATATTAATAATTTACTAGGTTTATTTTCATACTTCTGTAAAAACAGTATCAACTACAACTTCCAGTTTTTCCACCATCTCTACTAATAATAATAACAATGTTATTGTAAGAATTTATTAAGATTGAGATATATATATTTTTTTTTTTTTGCTTAATTAATGGTTTTATTTATTTATTTTTAAAAAAGAATCACAAAGTTGGAGTTATTGGAGCAGGACAAATGGTTTTTCTAATTAATTAATTAGTTAATATTATATTTATTTGAATAATAGATTAAAATATTTTATTGTTAATTAAATAAAATTAGGGATTGGGAATTGCATTTGTAATTGCAAATGTTAGTCGTTTACCTGTTAAAATCATGGATTCAAATCCAAATCAAATTGAAAAAGCATTGAAATTTATTGGTCTGATTTAAAAAATTACATATTAATTTCTCTTGGTTTTTTTAAAAAAGTTTATAATATGAACATATATAAATTCTTCTTAGATGGCCTACTTGAGAAAGACATTAAAAAAAATCAAATTACAGAAGAACATGCTAGTTTAACAAAATCATTAATTAAAACAACAGAAAATATTTCAGGGTTAAGTGAAATGAATTTTGTGATTGAAGCAGTACCAGAAAATCTAGAATTGAAAAAAAAGGTGTTTATTGATCTGGATAAGTCAACTAAACCAGATACAATTCTTGCCACCAATACCAGTAGTATTAGTATTACTAAGATTGCAGCAGTTACAAAAAGACCACAGAAGGTAATAATGAATTGGATGGATACAAAGAAAAGAAAGTCACTATTCTCAAAATAATCTTATGTTTGTTTAGGTGATTGGTATGCATTTTATGAATCCGGTGAGTGTGATGAAATTGGTTGAAATTATTCCTGGTTTAGCCACATCAGATGAAACTTTTGATACAACCAAAAATTTAGCTATTTCCATGGGTAAAACATGTACATTGTCAAAAGATGTTCCGGGATTTATAGCAAATAGATTATTAATGCCTTACATTAATGAAGCTATTATGGTATTAGAACAGGTAATAAAGTTTTTTTTTTTTTAAAAAAAATCAATTCAGAAATAAAAAATAATAACTACATTAACCATAAATTGTCTAGGGCATAGCAACTTGTGAAGATATAGATACCACTATGAAATTAGGTACAAATATCCCAATGGGTCCTTTAACTTTAGCTGATTTCATAGGCCTTGATACATGTTTAGCAATAATGAAGGTGTTACATACAGAGATTGGTGATACTAAATATAGGCCAGCTATTTTATTACAAAAATATGTTGATGCTGGTTGGTTAGGCATAAAGAGTGGCAGAGGATTTTACATG